AATTAAGGTATATAAGGGAGCAGAAGTATCTTTTTGAGACCCGTAGTGTTCTCTGTCTTACCTCCCACCCCAGCCTCAACCATTCTCCCTCATCCTCCATTAAGATCCCTCATCGGTCCAATATTCCCCTCCCTCTCGCCCTCAGTCAAGGACCTGTAAAACAGCGGTTGCAATAAAGATCACAAACCTAACAACCACTAACCCAATAAAGCCTGAAAGCTTGTTTTAACTGCATCTTTTCTGTGTAGACTAAACTGGAGTGCCTTTCATCACAAAAATGGGAGCAAAAAGAACAATTCAATGAACTTACGATTGAATGCCCCGCTGAGCAAACTATATTCGTCGAAGGTAGATTCATAGTCAACTACAAAATGAAATTTATCTTCCAGCAAACTTTTGTCATCATCTTCAGAATTCCCTTTGATTTCCTTTTTTGACCTAAACATATGTAATCTAAAAAGTTGGATTATTAAGTGATATGAAGAAGTACTGCAATTCTGATTAAAACCAGTGCCTTTTCTCCTCGTTTTCATCCGCTGCGTCCTGAAAATCCTCTTCGACAGAAGCAAACCCATCACTATCTGAAACGTTGCCGCAACATGCATTCTTGAACTCAATCAGCTGTCTTCGACGAGCCCTTTCTAAACCTTCAAAGACATTCATGATGCATTCCATGATCTGAAAGATACAAATAAATGCAAAAATGGAGATTTTAAATGACAAGTGTTTTCTGAAAAACAATAAAAAACCTTTGTTGACTGGTCAACAACAATTTTTGGTCTGTATTCCGGTGGGCAACGCCACAGAAACACCCAACCAGCAATATGCATTCGTCGGTCGTGCACACCATGAAAGTCACAGGAAGATGCCAGCAAAAAATCAGCCAAGTAATGTAATCCATCTTTAACCAATTCCCCCCATTTCGGAAACTTGGTTAACATTAACTGAGGACTTTCGGTTAGACACGCAATTAACAACTAAAAAGGAACAAATTTTCTACCTTACCAGGAGCCTATTAACAAACTTTAAGTTTTGAAGCTTTATCACAAGAACTACAAAAAATATCCAAAAATTTAACCAGAATAAGGAATTTTATTATACTCACTATAACAAAATCATCAAATGGAAATTTCGAAGAAGAATCAGCACTGTGAAAAAAAATTTTTGAATCAAAAGCCACAGAAGACATTTCGTGTTTCACAAGATACATTTAGATTCTAGTCAGAAAGTAAAAGTATTTGTAAGAACTGACCACAGCAATCATTATTTGAGCATTGTTATCGAAATAGCACTGCTTCTGCAACCTCAAGCAGTCCTCGGCAAAGTAGGCGATACAGTGATTTAATCGACCACTTAAATAAAAATATTTGTTCTCATAAAACTCATAAATTTTTTAAAGAAAGGTCGAGTAAAAATAAAGAAGCAATGAGAGAAGACAACGAGCACCGCTAACCTGTATTCGATAACAACACATTCTAACAGCTTGGCAGCATAAACATGTGCTGATGAAGTTTGATCAGGATCTCGAAGAGTGCGCATTACCAATTGATAGATTAAATGCAATCGTTCTGGCTCGGCTAACAACCACGATTTATCAATTGTCACCAACTTTCTAAGCATTGGAGTCATCACTGAAAAATAAAAAATCGATAAAAAGATGATTTTGAAAAAAAATAGTAAATGCGACTAGAATTTGAAACCGCACTAGGGAATATGCATCCTTCATAGAGCATTGCCGAGCGATACGCAAAAAACAATGCTGCCCAGTGACACTGTAGGATATCCATATAAAGAGTAGCGGTTACCAATGAGAACGCCTCTTCATAAAGTACTAAAAAACCAAAACCTAACTCTAGATTTCTAAAGTGATACAAAACCAAACAAAGGCGACTTCTGTTCGTGGAAAAAGATTAGCAAAAAATATTTAAAGAAGCAGTGAGAACGAACAAACAATTTTAGACTTCCACAACAAGGAGTATTGAAATACAAGTCAAACATCAACTTACAAGCATATTTGTTCATAAAAACATCCATAGCAACCTTAACGCAAGGAATCACAACTTCATGATAACCAATCCCCAAATCCTGCGTCCTACTAGCAATAGCTTCAAAGCAACCGAGTAAACGAGATATTGCAGGCCAAACAATATCTGGTCCTCCAGCATTTGCCACTTTTATTAATTCTTTATAAACTAACACCTGAATTAAAAAAAAAAAAGTATCCCACTGCAACGATCTACAACGACTACTTATCACAGTCAAATTTCTTTGCAATAAAAACTTAAAACAGATCCATACCAAATGCCCAGCAAGCACCGGGGGTTGCCCGAAATGATCGATACGAAATGTATATAAGAATTTCCTTAGAGCAGCAACTACTTCTTCCATGTAAGTTTGGCAAATAACTTGAGCAAATTTGGCAAACATAGGGACGAACAACGTTTGCAAGCCAAGTTCTGGAAATTTACCATCAAATTGACAGCCTCTCTTCGGCAGTTACATGAAATACAACCAAATTAACTAATTAAGCTGACCTTTAAACCCTTCAAGTACCCTTAAAATAGCTTTTTAGTAGCAGAATCATTGTTTAGGACATACTTAGAGTATCGTCATTCATAAGAGCATCTTGAGCGATCATTGCTTCTACTACGACAGGGGTACTATCATCATGAAGAATCCTGTCCGCAAGGGCAACTTGAATGTCACTATAAATTTTAGGGCTAGCGTGCCTAGCGTGTGCATACCGCCCAACTGTCCAGCAAGCCTTTGAGCGTAAACGAGGACTTTTCTCTCTTCTCATCAAAGGGATTACTAAGTTCTGCAAAAAAAAGTGGTTATTAACAGCTATAACATAAAAAAATTAGAAATATTACCGTGAAATTATCGTCAAGTTGCATAGGAACGCAAGATTCAGCATAAACATCACCAACGTAGCCCAGCAGCATCAGAGCTGCCTCAGTTTTAGAGTCATCCTTCCTAAACAAATAACACAAAGAATAATGGCAAACAATCACGGCAAAGTATTAAACATCGATATACAAGTGTTACATGTGGGATTCAGTAAGACATCTTATGGCATAATCGTAACTGCCCTTTAAATGTCCACATCTTCGACACAAACCTCTCAAAAAATCTCCAGCTGGAGAAGACTCCTCAATGAGAAAACGATAAACATCTGAAAAAAATTATAAAATTGCTTTAAGGAAATAAAGCAAGTTTTAAAATTGATGGCAGAGATGAAGAAATCATAAAATAAGAGAATATACATTTAGTAACTTAAGAATGACTCTAAAACTGAAGTTTTAAAAAATTACCGTATTCCCTTTGAATGAATTCTATTGGGGCAGTGTTAAATAAGGTAATTGACTGTGGCGAGGGGAACATACTTCTCATTACCGCAGGCAAGCATACATTCTATATTAAACAAGAGATTACTTTCTTAAAGACAACGTGTAATGCATAGACAGTAGATTTGTCGAACTCTCCTAAGCCAGAATTGAGACTACCTGTATTACTCTTCTCAAGTTCGCTCTTGTGCCATCGTGATAAACAACTTTCGAAAAATAAACAAAAGTATGATATATCAGTCTGGGATCACTCAGTTCATAATTTGCATACTTTTGAAGCAAATCCTTCAAAGCAACAAAAACTGGTTGGGCAACATTATCTTCAAAAAATTTTGGAAAATAACTCGACCCTCTAGAACGATCATGGTGAAAATATCTAAACAAAAATAGAAAGTTAGTAACATGACTACGTATTTGGAGAATGAATGACATTTCACATTTTCAACTGCAGAAAGATCTAAAAGAACAATGCTAAAATTTAAAAAAGTAATTTCGCTTCGGAAATCGAAGACCCAGTTCGACATTAACCACAGAAAATATGTAAAATTCCAATTCTGCGTATAATACATAGTAAGAACTCTTACGAAATACTTAAACTAACTTTGTGTAGAGAAAAGTGATAGTCCGAACCGACCATTTCTTACAACTCCACCACAGTTCTTGTACGAATTCATCATATTCATCAATGTCCACTACGCGTTCTAAAACCCTGATCATATATGTGACCCAGTCCGACAGTTCCGATTCTTTAAACACTTCCTTGTCAATACAAGTCTGAAAATTAAAGTTGATAGCATGGTTTTTTTAAATCGGTCTAAGCCACTTCCAACCACCACAAGTCTTTACCCACCCAAAAAAAGGTTCAAATAGAAATTCAGCACGCAACATGAACTACATTCAAAAAAATCACCATAAATATTGCATATAACGCTTTTAAAATACACTTCTGTACAAAAAGTCCACCATCGGAAATAAGGTCGTCATTTCTTGGAAATATAAGATACATTCTTTGTTGCATAGTACGCAAAAAACGTTGCATATCTGCTCGTTCACTGTCATGCCTTCTTAGACTAAAAGGGAAATAAAGCTGTGGCTTGAAACTAAAAAATTAAAATTGCAATTCATTTCTCAATCAGTTACTTACTCAATTGCAAGCAAAAAACGATATAGAAAGCGAAAAGCCAAAGAATAAGATCGTTCTTCTTCTTTTGAATCTTCAGGCGCTTTATCAATGATTTCGCATAGCGTAGGAGGCAGATACGACCACTGATGCTTATTAAAATCTAGCGATGTCATCAGAGCAACGACCATTTCAGTGACTTGTCTGCTGTAACAAAGAAAAGATGACAGAAAATTTTAACAGTTTAGCTTAGCAGTAAGACTTGATCTATACTTAAGATGAACAAAATCAAAATTAGGTGAAGCGAAAATTATTTTCAAACTTATGTCGGAAATGAAAATTTGAACATTCAGATACCGCTGCTTTTTCACAATAATTTAACTTACTCATAGCCTCGGTCTTCAAAATAATATGTCATCAACGTGGTCCGAACTAACTGTTTATCACTTTCACTGATTACAGCTTGTGGACGGTTAGGTTTTTTTTCTGAAGTCCAAAGAAAGCGAATCTAAAAACAGTTTTCTCAGCTAACGAAAATAACTTTAAATGTCTTTAAGTGACTATGGTTATAGATCATCACTAACAAGTGGGAAATCAACTGTGCTTAACATACTTGATGTTTTAGGTATGCCATTGCCCGTTCACGAGCTTTTGGCGCAATGCTGACGTCCACTAGAACTTTCATCAGCTTTTTCAAAAAACCAGGTTTAAGGGCGACCTGTAAGGACTTTCTACTACATTCTTAAAAGTAAAGAACCGAATGAAGTAGTTTCCAATTAGCTACTGCCTGCAATTTCTATTTAACTTCACAGGAATAAAGAAACCTGTTCCAGTAGTTGATTGGCCTCAAGCATTAATTGCAATTTGTCCAGTGGGCATTTCAATAAGCTAACTAATTCTTCAAGATCTGCAGGACACAAATCAGGCTCCTCATCGGATGAAGTCACCATCTACAAAAAAGTGAATGGATAAACATATCAGGTCAAAAAACAAGTGTTATTAGATCTGCAAAAAGTTTGGAGCAATCACACGAATATTTCAAAACATATCTCGATCTACGATTTAAATACATTTTTAATGATAAGAACCACATGTTTACTGCAGCACGTAACACAAGATGACTCCGCTAATTCAGACCGGCCTTTCACAAATAGAAAACAACAGACTGAAAATTATAGTTATAAAGCAGCTGAAACTGTAAAGGAAACCTCATCTTCTGTTTCAACAAATTGTCCACTCTTTGGAAGCTAAAAGCCAAGCTAAATACTCTTCGGCATGAGTCTATATAAAAAAGTCGCTTGAATAGTACTCTCCATCAATTACTCCTCCAATGCCAGATGAAAAGAAAAATCGAGGACAGCTTTTCAAGAGTAAAAGGTATTTTTGAGGTTATCCCTCCTAAGTGTATCAATCAAAATGATTCTCTTCGCTTACTTTGATTCATCTCACTTATAATTCATCAACAGCCAAGTGCAGACAAACAGTTTCGACTCAAAATACACCAACATTCACTCTGTTCCACAAACCTACAATTCCACAAGCAGTACCATGGCTTCCTAATCATTATCTTTTACTCCAGGTTTGCCAATCATAAAAACTGTGTCAAGGAAAATTCCTTTCAAAAAAAAATTCTTGACGTTCCATACATGCTGCTAAAGATGACTTCTTTACGAAACACTAACAAGGAGAACAAACAGAAAAAAACCCATACTTTTCTGATTAAAATTCCCGCAAAAATCTGCAAATGCGAAAAACGAAAATATTTCTAGAATTCAAACACCGCTTAGGATATAAGCAACATGAAGAGTTGCATGCTGACACAACGACTGAGTTGAAGATGAACTTAAAATTTTTCGATTGCTCCAGAACTTCACGCCAAACTAATAAGTGAATGCCGCTGATACTTTAAAAAAGTAGTTTTTCTGGAAGTATACAGTGTATCTACGAATGGACTAAAGTAGCAAATTAAGCGCTACAAGATCTTGAAAATTATTCAGATTTGCACAGAAGAATATCAAAAAAAAAAAAAAAAAAA